CTCAAGGTCCTGGCCGATCTCCAAAAGAAAGAGGCCCAGGAGAAAGTCCTCACCGAGGAGTGGACGGAGAAGTGGAAGGTGGCCCAGTCTATATTGCAGGAGCAAAAGAGTCTGGGCCTGCGAAAGTCGGGTGTGGGCGTGGTCCTTGACTCAGAGATGCCACATCTCATTGGCATCCACAACGACGTGACCACGGGAGTGACGCTTTACAGCCTGAAGGAGGGCGAGACGCGAATTGGCAGCGAGGATGCGGATATGGCGCAGGACATTGAATTGGCCGGCGACGGCATACGAGCACAGCACTGCAGCATTGTCCTTAAAGGCGGTGTGGTTACGCTGCATCCTTGGCCCTTGGCCCAGTGCTGGGTGAATGCCCACCTAATTGACGAACCCAAGCAGATTTCGCAGGGCGATATTATATTGTTGGGCCGCACGAATATATTTCGATTCAATAATCCCGCCGAGGCGGCCAAGCTGCGCAAGGACCTGAGTCGCTCTCAGCTGGACATGTCGCGACTGTCGTTGATTACCTCGTCCAAGGAGAACCTGCTCGCCTGCAGCATTTACTCGGATGAGGATGGAGCGTCGCCGTATAAGCGGCCAGAGCGGCAGTACTATCCGCAGCGGCCCATGTCGCGGGATGATCCCGAGTTGCAGGATGAAAATCGCAAGATACTGGACACTATTGAGAATGCCCTGAAGCAACTCAATGTGGTGAGTACATTAAGGGGACAAGGAGTTGAGGTTAATTTGGAATAAAAACCATATAGCTTATAAAAGTATAAATTAATTTAATTACTTACTTTTTTATTTATTTCTGCAGGAGCGCGTCCAGATGCACGACCAATACAAGACCAAGGTGCGAAAGCTGACCGAGGAGCTGATTCGCCTGGAGCAGGAAGAAATGGATGGTTTACAGCTGTTGAATTGCCGCGAACAAGAGCTGGTTGCTCGCAAGGACATGTTGCTCTGGGAGAAGAACAACGAGAAGGTCCAGGTGCGTCCTTCGGATCAGATCTCTTTTGATCCAATTGCATGTGATCATTGATTGTTGTGCTTGTTTTTGCCTGCTCTCTCTCTCTATCTTTCGACTTATTGTTTTCCTTGTTTTGGCTTTATGTTCCTTATGATTTTCTGTTCGTTCCATTTTCGTTTTAGATCGACATTGTGTGTAGACAAATTTCAGCGTTTCAGACGCAGCTCGACTCTAAGAAACGAGATTTCTCTGAGTATGTAGCGAAAGAATTGCAGGAACTGCAAGATTGTGGCAAGCTGGATGAGGTTTGTTCGTTTGTTTGGACTTATTTTGCCTAGAGTTTAGAGATGAATAACAAAATAATATACATAAATGAATATCATGATGAACTCGTATATCTTTTTGTTCACAGATGGGGCTGAAGATTGAAGAGGGCACTCCCCTGAACGATGAGCTGCTTTTGCAAGTGTCCGATTCGCTGGATCTCTTTGCAGCGCAGTTCATCAAGGACACTGTGCGAAGAAATGTAAGTTTAGCCTTCACATTTCTCCTTATTATGCAAGAAAAAAATGTTTTATATGGTTTTCAGAACGAGGAAATCCGAAAACTTGACGAACAAATCGCCGAAAAGGAGCGTATACTCAATGCCAGCACCAGCAAAATAGCCAAGGTCGATGAAACCATGCTGGAGATCCAGGCCCAGCTGGAGCGTCTGCGTCTGGAACGCGCCGAAAGCGAAGCCGAGGCCCAGGCGATGCGAGCCAAAAAGCAGAATATGAAGCTGCAGCTGGGCAGCAAGTCCATGTCCATGTCCACCTCGACCAGCACTAACGAGGCCGACGATGTGTCCAAATCGGACACGTACGAAACCTGTGATACCTTCCACACCGCCCAGTCGAACTTTTCGATCGTCTCATCGCCCACGATCACGGAGGGCCAGCAGTCGCCGCTCAGCAATTGTTCCTGCGAAGCGGAGGACGAAGCCGAGGATACGCGCAAGGACGACGATCTATCGGGTAGCAGCGAAGATGCATCGCGCACCTGTACCGCTGGTGCCAGCAGCGGTAGTGGGAGTGGCATTGGTGGCTCCGGCTCCGGATCTGCTCCCACTGCCACGCCCAGTTCCCAGGCCATTATGAGCGACAGCGGCGTGTGCCTGGATCACCGCAATCAGGCTCTGCTCCAGAACGGACTCATTAACAACTACCGGCAAGGAGTGCGAACCAGCGACGAGGACACCGGTTCCTGTTCCTCCTGCGAGCTGGGACGGCACTCGGATGTTTCGCGTCCCTACTGTCCACTGCACTCGCTGCGCCGCAAAATCGCCGCCCAAAAGGCACTGATCATGAAGAACCTGGAAACGGACCTTAACAAGGCCCAGTTGGATGAGCATATCGCCGACCTGCAGGATCTGCAACGACGCTACATACAAATGGAGCAGGAGATGCTCCAGTCGGTGCAGGATCTGGAGGCCCACGCCCAGTGTTGTGCTGACGAGCGGTCCGGCATGGAGCGGCAGTACGAGCTGGCCAGCTCCATCATGCGCTCCAGTGCCATGAGCCCCACCAGCATGGAGGAGTCCACCTCGCAGATTTATTCGCCCAGCATGACCCGGTCATGCCCATCCATGCGGGAATTTCGTAAGTTTTTGGTTGCAAGGAAGCCTTTTTTCCCTTTTAACTTGTGATCCTTTCAGCTGAGGGCGAACACTTCATCACCATTCCCAGCTTTGTGATGCGCGGCGCTGGTAAGCAGACGCACTACGAGTATGAGGTGCGCATCGCTCTGCCCGATGGAAAGCTCAACATCCTGCGGCGCTACAGTCGCTTCCGGGAGCTGCACCTGTGCATGAAGCACTGCTACGGGGCCAAAGTGAGTTGAAGAAAAGTACGGCTTTAAGCTTACTAATTAATGCGTTTTTTTGGTCAGATCTCTGCACTACCCTTCCCGCGACGGGAGCTATTCGCATCGAACAGTGAACCGGTGGCCAAGCATAGACGCCGCCTTCTGGAGCTGTACCTGCGCCGCCTGTTCGTCGTGTGCTCAAAGATTCCGCAGTGCCCGATCTACGACGGACCCGGCGGACCGGGCCTCACGCGCGCCTCCCTCGTCCAGCTGTCGTCTTTTTTCAAGAAAGGCCTGTTCGAGAACGGGAAGCATGGGACGGGATAATAGTTAACCTACTGCTGAATTATCTCCTGCCTACAGTGTGTCTATTTATATACTTGTACTACCTGCTGAGCTACATGAACGACAACAATATGGACCTGTTTTGATTGTTAGCTAGCCCAAGTACCACTGTTAAGAGTAATTAGGATTAAGGCCCTGAGTAGCTGTGTAAGACCACCAGTGTCCTTTCTCATCCAGCACACACACACATTTTTTTATACCCATTGTTATTGAATGTATCGGAGCTTTATATTGAATTTACTGTAACTGCCAGTGGCGTTGTTGCAATCAATCCAAGTGCAAATATGTCTATTAGTATCAAGTTTGTTGCTGTTTGCGGCCAGTTTTAATTAGTTAATTCTTCTCTTTACTCTTTACTCTTCACTAGTTAAATATACGCCTTGAATGTACAACTTCCAAAAGTTATTCCAGTTATTTACAATCTGTGATTAGCAATTGAAGTTATATGGAATCAGAGTCCAAACAAATGAGTAATCCAACTACAATCTCTTAGGCGTAAGCTACTACTTGTACAAATCGAACACTGATGGGTTTAGGCGGGCAGATGTTTAGCAGTAGGTATTAGGTCCTAGCCAGTAAGTCCCTAGCACTAATTCGTCGCAATTACACTAAACTAAATTAGATTAATTAAGAGTACAATTCCCGAAAATGTAACAACAACATGAAATGTTCAATGTAAGATCCATAGAGTAAGTTTACTTCTAGCGGTAAGATAGTTTATTGTGAATGGTGAAAATTGGTCGATCGGTGGATCGGTCAATGGCAATAAGTGAAACAATAATAGCCTAGATGTGTAATGAAATCAGCGCCCACTCAAACGGCAGAACCGATTTGACACCGGAGTGGATGCTGTCCAAAAAAAATAAATATACGTAAATATATACATACTATTGAAATTGCCGACATTAATTTGTGATTTTGTGCATTAGCGAAGGAGGTACTTAATTTGAAAAATGCGAGAGCAAAAATTGTTTCTTACTAACGCCGTTTCACGAGCTCTTCATGAGGGTTTTTCTGTAACTTTCCGTGGAAAATGAGTTCGAGGAATCTTACAGCCGACCCAGTACGCTACGTTCTGCGACATAAGCAAGAGATTAAAGGAAGACAGAGATTATAGGAAGTGAGTTTTTATTTACCCTTTCATGCCTGCAGTTTCATATATGTGCCACAATGTATTTATGAGCCTCTAACGCAGAAAACCTGGTTTAGAAAAAGTCTTTAAAAACATTAAAATTTTACATACTACGTGAATCTAAAACCTAGTTTAACAACTTAATAAATAAAGGTAACTGAGTAGTTTAAAAGAAACCTCGTGAATGTAGTGTTGCGCATCCTGTAGCTCTTGAACCAGGAAACCTAGGATATTCAAATTTTTGTCAGTTGATATTGTGGTCAACTCTACCTTATATATAAAATTAAAATATTACAGCCACGCCCATTTTTACTCGGGCATGAAAGGGTTAATAATTCAACTTTAATACATTGAACCCAGTCTTGTGCTGACAGAAGCCTTCACTGTAGCGAATACTTTGCCTGGCGTATACAGTACACAGATAATTTTAAAGCTATGTATAGTACTTTGTAGTCTCGGCAGCCGACAGTGTTACATTTAATTTTCAAGAAATCAGTCGCGTTGAAAAAGCAGCAAATGTGCCCTAATAAGAAAACGATTTTCATCCTGAAAATCTTTCTTTTTATGATAATCTCCATCGGACTACTGATATTTTTGCTTCTATGGGCGCTTCCCGTGCAAAAAGAAGACGGAAACTTGACGGACAGGTCAAAAAGTGCCGATGATTACTTGCAGAACTATGCAGATCATATGAAATCCTATATGAACTTCAGTGTGGCCCCATGTGACAACTTTTACGAGTACGCGTGCGGCAACTATCCGCGTGCCAAAACAGATCACTTCTCCGTAAATCGACGAAATAACAGGATAGACTTGACGTTTACGCTGAACGATATCACAGTTCAGCTGCTGGGTCGGACGTATCTGGCGGAGACCCTCAATGTGTCTAGGGAGCTGGTGGTAGCCCAACGCTTCTACAATGCCTGTATAGGGGCAGAGATCGTGCCGTTTCCGGCGGCCGATCCCGCATACCTGGCCCTCATTAGATCGTCAGGAGGATTCCCCGCAGTCGACGGTGCCGCCTGGAATGCATTCGAGTTCAGCTGGCTCAACATGAGCTCCCACTTGACCAACTACGGAGCCAACGGACTGATCTATGAGAAACTCGTCGGTCGATATCCCTTTGAGCCTTACTTTAGTCTGCCTCGGCTTGGATTCGACCACATCGTCGATGCGATCAATATTGCCAGCAATGACTCTCGGGCCTTCCAGCTCAATGATAAGCGGATGAGAGGCTATCTACAAGCCTACAATCTGTCTGAGGAGAGGATTACAGAAGTTATCAGCGGGGTGTTTGCCTTTTGGCGTGACACACTTAAGGTGACCAAAAATTTCAATGAACACTGCGTGCCTTTCTCGTCTGAAAAGGGCTTGGACGCATATCCCCCGTTAAGGAACTACTACGAGATCGCCTGGAACGGGGTGAACCTCATCGAACACAAAGACTGCTACGCTTTCTTCGCAGAACTGGACAAGGTTTGCAACCAACACCCAGAGGCCGTTGCTAACTATCTGGCGATGCAGTTGCTCTACGTATTCGATGCCAAGCTGACGGAGGCCAAGTACCAACAGGAGCACTGTGCTAGTCTGGTTCGGGAGTCCATGACGTTCCTCCTAGACAAACTCTACATGCTGGTGGGTACGAGGTTATTATAGTGCATTTCAAATTTTAAGTAGATTTATCAAGAAACCGTAAACAATAGCGTGCATATTATTTCAAACCTTCATTCTTTCGTTCACTCCAGGAGCACTTTAGCGAGGAGAAACTCTTGGAGGTATCGGAAATAGTGCTGGAGGTGCGGAAAATTTTTCGAAAAACGCTGGAAGAAGCAGAGTGGCTAGACGAAGAGTCACGAGAGACAGCGCTGCTCGAGGAGTCCACTCTGAAGGCGATCGTCGGATCTCTCCAGAACAAAGCGCTTACCGATCGGTTGACAAGGGAGATTGCAAGTGTGAAAATCGTCGAGGACAGCTTTGCAACAACTAATATTAACTTGGCAAGGCACAGTATAAAGACCAACCGCTTCAGCAGCCTTCACTTCGAGGAATTGGCCAATGACACCCGGCCACAAGCTGTTTATCTAGGAATGCAGATCCTAAATGCCTACTTCATCAATGACCACTCCTTTTATTTGATGGCCGGTAGCCTGGAACCACCCATCTACCACCGAGCGTGGCCCCAATCCTTAACATTCGGCAGCCTGGGTTACATTGCAGGCCACTTAATCATGCATGGTTTCGACACGACCTGCTCCCTATACGATAAGTTGACGAAGAAGATGCAACGCGTGTTTGACCTTCGAACCTCTTGCTTTATCGAGCAGTACAGCAACTATACTATACCAGAGATAGGCCTCAATATGGACGGCGTTAAGACCAAAGATAGAAACATCGCCGACAATGAAGGGCTGCGGCAAGCATTCGCCGCCTACCGCAGCCACATGAAGCAACAAATGTGGGTTCATCCAGAGCAGCAGAAGGTCAGCGGACAGATGCCAGGCCTAGACCTCAATCCGGACCAGCTCTTCTTCCTGGGCTTTGCGCAACTCTGGTGTTCCGATTTCCAGGAGGAGCACTACTACTCATTTCTGAACAACGGCTTCACCATCGACAAATACCGTGTCCTGGGCGCACTATCCAATAGCGACGACTTTGTCCAGGCCTACAACTGTCCCGTGGGAAGTAGAATGCGCCCTGAAACTAAAAGTTGTCGCCTATGGTAGGGTGTTGCAATACCGAATTGAAGATACATAATATTCAGATTGCTTACAAATACATATATGCAGTCTTTGGAATTAAAAATTACTTTATAGCATTTATAACATTAATAACATTTACTACTTTTGTTGTGTGGTTGAACTAAATAATTATTTTATTATATTTCTTGGTCAAATATAATGCTCTTTTGAAAAACATTTATTAATTTAATAACTATTTAGATTTTTCCTCTTAATGTGAATGGTGAAAATTGGTCGATCGGTCGATGGCAATAAGTGATCAAATAATATGCTAGATGTGTAATGAAATCAGCACTGTTCAAAAAGATAATATAAATATATACATACTATTGAAGTTCCCAACTTTAATTGTTGGTTTTAGAACTTACATATACTGCACTAGCGAAGGAGGTACTAATTTTGGTGACACTACTGTAAAAGTAACAAATGTGTAACGCTGAGTGTAAAAATGCCTTCTTACTGTAAAATGTTAGCAACGTCGTTTCACGAGCCCTTCATAAGGGTTTTCCGACAACTTACTGTAGAAAATGAGATTTTCCGACATGCTCTTAGCGATTACCCCGCCGGGGGTCGCCACTGTATTGAAAACTTTTTGTCTGTCATGTAATTCCTATGTTTTTATTAAACAATTGAACAGAAACTCGCAAAACTCATCTAAATCCCACCGGACCCTACTCGAAATCCACATAAAATTAACGAAAAACTAAAAAAAAAAAACAACAAATGAAAATGAAATTCAACGGAAAACCCACTCAGAATTCCACTGTATGCCGAAGATCTCAGAGATTATAAGAACTGACGTTTTATAAATAATCCAATTTAAAGACTCTGAACCTAGACTTGGGATTTAATCTCGCGAATATATCGCCTAGCGTATATGTACATTCCATTGCAGTATATACAATTTTTTAGAGGTATAGTACGTTGTAGTCTAGGCAGCCGGCAGTGTTTCATTTTATTTTCAAGTAATCAGTCGCGTTATAAATTTCTTTATTTAATCAAAGGAACAAGCTTTAAGTTGTGCTCTAATAAGCAAGCGCATTTCATCCCCAATATGTTTACGATTAACTTTAGCACCATTAATATATGGCGAGTACTGATCCTTGTGCCTTTACTGCAGCTTCTCGTGGAAAGCGAAGCCAGAAGCTTGAGGGACAAGCCAGAAAGAGCTGATGAGGAGAAATCCTCTGCTGATTACCTGCAGAACTATGCAGAGCATATGAAATCCTATATGAATTTCAGTGTGGCGCCATGTGACAACTTTTACGAGTACGCGTGCGGCAACTATCCGCGTGCCAAGGCAGACCACTTCTCCGTACATCGAAGGAATAACATCAACGACTTAATGTTCACACTGAATGATATAACGGTTAAGTTGCTGGGTCGGACGCATCTAGCGGAGACCGTAAATGTGTCCAAGGAGCTAGTGGTAGCCAAACGATTCTACAATGCCTGTCTGGCGGCAGAACTCGTGCAGTTTTCGGCGGCCGATCCCGCTTACCTGTCTCTCATTAGATCGTCAGGAGGATTCCCCGCTGTCGACGGAGCCTCCTGGAATGTATCTAAATTCAGCTGGGTCAACATGAGCTCCCACTTGACCAACTACGGAGCCAATGGACTGATCCACGAGGAGCTTGTAGCACGTTTTCCCTTTGAGCCGTTATTTAAACCGCCACAGCTAGGATTCGACCACATCGTCCAGACGATCAACATTGCCAGCAATGATTCTCGCGCCTTCCGGCTCAATGATAAGAGGATGCGGGGCTACCTACAAGCCTACAATGTGCCCGAAGACAGGATTATAGAAGTGATAAACGGAGTGTTTGCCTTTTGGCGTGACGCACTCAAGGTGACCGAAGAGTTTAATGACGCCTGCGAGTCTTTGTCCTTTGAGGAGGCCGAGGACGAGTTTCCAAAGTTAAGGAGCTACTACGCAATCGCCTGGAACGGAGTGAACGTCACCGAGGACAATAACTGCTACACTTTATTCGCAGAGCTGGACAAGGTTTGCACCCAACACCCGGAGGCCGTGGCAAACTATCTGGCGATGCAGTTGCTCTACGTATTCGATGCCAAGCTGACGGAGGCCAAGTACCAACAGGATTACTGCGCCAAAACGGTTCGGGAAACTATGTCGTTCCTTATAGACAAACTCTACATGGCGGTAGGTTCAAACTTATGACCCCAGAAACCCCTTTAATATTATTTAATTTTTCACAGGAGCTTTTCAGCGAGGAGAAACGCTTGGAGGTATCGGCAATGGTGCTGGAGCTAAGGAAGAGTGTGCGAAAATCTCTAGAAGAGGCCGAATGGCTAGACACAGAGTCACGAGTGGAGGCTCTGCTGAAGGAGTCCACTCTGAAGTCACGTGTCGGATCCCTTAAGGACGAAGCACTTACCGATCGGTTGATCCGGGAGATTGCCAGCCTGGATATCGTTGAGGACAGCTTTGCTACAACCAATATCAACCTAGCGAGACACAGTATCAAGACCGACCGCTACAGCAGCCTTCACTTCGAAGAAATGGCCAACGACACCCTGCCACAGAGCACTTATCTGGGAATGCAGGTTCAAGCTGCCTACTACATCATTGACAATTCTATTAACGTGATGGCCGGCATTCTGCAACCACCCGTCTACCACCGAGCGTGGCCCCAATCCCTGAAATTCGGCACTCTGGGTTACATCGTGGGTCACGAACTCACGCATGGCTTCGACACGACCAGCTCCCTGTTCGATAGCAAAGGAAATATCCGATTCTGGTGGACGAAGGAGACACAACGCGCGTTCGACATTCGAACATTTTGCTTTATCGAGCAGTACAGCGACTATACTATACCAGAGATAGGCCTCAGTATCAACGGCGTTAAGACCAAAGATGAAAATATCGCCGACAATGGAGGACTGCGGCAAGCATTTGCCGCCTACCACAGCCACATGAAGCAACAATTGGAGGATCCGGAGCAGCAGAGTGTCAGCGAACAGTTGCCAGGCCTAGACCTCAAGCCTGACCAGCTCTTCTTCTTGGGATTTGCGCAACTCTTCTGCTCTGATTTCCAGGAGGAGCACTATTATAAACATCTGACTGATGTTCATACCATCGACAAATATCGTGTTCTAGGGGCAATATCCAATAGCGACGACTTCTTCCAGGCCTACAACTGTCCTGTGGGAAGTGGAATGCGCCCTGAAAACAAAACCTGTCGTTTATGGTAGGGTGTAGCACCATTAAGTTGAAAATAAATAATTGTTTGATTTTTAAAATCGCTTGTTTATAAATATATTCAATCTTTGAAATTATTGGATTTCTTGTAACAAGCATTTATTTATTAATTAGTATTTAGAATTTTCTTATTTTCAGTCTCAACAAATGCCTGCAATTTGAATTGCACTAGAATGATGATATACCCGAGTATGGTGACCAACATCTGTAAAAATGCTTATCAGAATAACGCTATATGCATTATAAAATATATACAAATTACCCCGGCGAAGTATTTTAGACTTATGTCGAAGAATCCGCTGCAGGTGAAGAGGAGCTTAAGATGCTGCATCTGCAGAAAGTACTCCCTTAAACCCATTTTTAAAATAGGGAAATCTTCTGCGACCGGCAAGCTTCGAATTCTACGCAAAATGCGTGGAATGTCTTTGTACTAGAAAAAAATATAATAAAGCCAAAAATATTATTCTAACCCAAAATGTCTACATACCGCATTGGTGCAGCATTCACTGTAGGAGCAGACCAACAACAGGTTGATGGTAAGTATAACACTAACTCCCACTCGCTCTGTAAAATATAACAGTATTATTTTTAATATTTAGAAAACCACTAGAGGGAAGATATGCTTACTGTATGGACAGCAGTCACTGCCTGTCTTTATGATTGCCCAATTGACCACGTGGAGAATGGTGAAGCCGTTGTAGAGGAACAGCAGAATCATGGTCAGAGTAAAGTAACTGCCCAGCTCGCCTACCAGTCGCCAAATGCGACCGACAAGCAGCTGATTGCGCTTCAGGGCCACACACAGCTCCTGAAGCCTGTCTCGAATGTTGCAGTCCTCCAGTTCCTGGTTAATCTGCTGGAGAGTATGCCGCACCTCGAGAATTAGCTCGTGGACAAGCATTACAAACACACAATACTCCGGCCCCTTGAACTGTAGCATAATCAGCACAATTTCGGTTATAATCTTGTCTGTTCCGCTGGCTAACACATTAACGCGGTTGTAACTGAGAGGTGGAATAAGAGCCACAAGGAGCACCATCCACAGGCCGACAAAAATGGCTAACCGGAAGCGGAAGCTCCAGCAGCGCCGCTGACCACCAAAGCACCTAGAGGCACCGTCAATATCCGCTTCCAGTGCCGCGATCTCATCGTAGATTCTGCCCAATCGTCGATAGTTCAGTAACATGTTGAGGTGGTTACAGATGGCCATAACTAAAACGAGGCCTTTATGCGTGTTCCCCATGACTTTGCTGAAGTCCTCCACATGGAACTGAACTAGTTGTCGTTGCAAGCCCATTATATTAACATAGCACTCGTAGGTGACCAGAACAAGTACTCCAGATGCAAAGCAGCAGTATCCGGCCTTTAGGTTCCGCAGGAGTCGCAAGTTTGATGTACTTTCAAAAAACCTGGGTGGAGGCGTGAGAGCCAAAACAGAGAATAGCTGCAGATATGGCCTGGCAGTGGCCAGCAAACGACTTCGATTGGCTTCCATATCCGTCGGGGCTTTGTAGGAGACTGATAAATTCAACTGGAAACGTTCTGGGTAAGCAGCTTTCGAAACCAATTTTATTAATGTTTTGATTATATCAATGTAATTGTGCCCTAATCATTTACGATGGTCTAAAACGTACTCTTATTTATTAATTATATAGTTATTTAGATCCTTTATTTTAGGTAGTGCTGTTGTAGATAGATTTATATTTTGTTTCGGCAATTGTCTGAACTTTAAATTGGATGAGAATTATGGTATAACCCAGAATGGTGACCAGCATCTAAAAAAAACGACATTAGCTGAGTGGCAAAGGGGATTTTTCGATAAGGTAATTTACCCCTCCAAAGTACTTTAGATTTATGTCGAAAAATCCGCCGCAGGTGAACAGCAGCCTCAGATGCTGCGTCTGCAAGGAGTATTCCCGAATTCCCATGTTTAGTGGGCGGAAATCAGTAACTGCAGGCAAGCATTGAATTTGGTGAAGGATGCGAGGGAAGCTGTTGTACTGGTATTCATATAATTAACAATTATTAGTTCGATTAATTAATTATTAGGTTATATAAATAGTTTGATGGTTACTTACGGCATTTGTGCAACGCTGGCTAAGGAAGCAGGCCAACAAAAGGTTGATCAACAGCAAAGAACAAGTGCCGAATCGGTCTGCAAATTAAGATGTATAACTTAAAAATCTATTTAAATTGTCATTATAACATTAAACCCACCATAGCGACAGCAATCGTCATCATAAAATGTATTGATATACGCCCAGTTGGTCACGTGTAGGATGGTCAGGCCGTTGTACAGGAACAGCATTATCATGGACACTGTGAAGTAAGTGGCCAGCTCAACCCCCAAGCGCCAGACTTGACCAATGAGCAGCTGATTACGTTTCAAAGCCACGCTCAAAGCTCGAAGCATGTCCTGGCTATCGCAGTCCATCAGCTCCATCTTCAGGTGCAAAAGCGTGTGGCGCAGCCGTAACACCAACTCGTGAATGAGCAACACGAAGACGCAGTACTCTAAGTTCTTCAGCTGCTGCATTACCAGGACGAACTCGGAGAGTATCTTACATGGCCAATTGATGTAGGGACCCATGGCCAATAAGGTGAATCGCGGCATTAAACCCACCAGGAGGATAAGCCACAGCCCCACACCAATGGCCAGACGGAACCGGAAGCTGAACCGGTGCACCTGTCCACCAAAGCACTGGGAGGCATCATTGATTTTAGCTTCCAGATCCGCAATGTCCTTGTAGATTCCTCCGAGCCGACGATAATTGAACAGCATGTTCAGGTGGTTGGCGATGCTCATGACCGAGAGTAGAATCTTCTGGGTATTTCCCATGACCTTGGTGAAGTCCGCCACCTGGTAGTCTTCTACCTCTTGGATTATTGCCACAATGTTCACGTAAGTCACAAAAAAGACCAGTGCCAGGATAGCCAAAGCATAACCACAGTATCCAGCCATCAAATATCTTTTGAGACGATGATAGGAGGTCTTTCCAAAACTCTGGGGCGGCGGTGTGAGAGCAAACACGGAAAAGATCTGCAGATAGGGAAAGGCAGTGGCCAACAGGCGGCTCGTGTTGACCTCCATTTCCGGTGACATGTGAAAGCGAACTGAAGTGGCTTACGTTAACCCATATGCAGTGATGGAAATTAATGTATAACCATTGCCTAGGCACACACTGGATCCCTTTATTATGTGTTGTAATCCAATTGTACCTGCCTCATCACCTTGCCGGATAATTAATTGCTCAGAGTACCGAGTTAGTGCATTTCACTAATTAGGTAGATAAGATGAGACCATGATCCATGAGGTGGTGTTCCCTTTTAGGGGCTCGTTCCCCTGTAAGATTTCTATCTTGGTGCCTGGCCAATTTCCACGTCATAACCCTGGTAATTTCCATTTTCCATTCCTCCATGCAAATGCGAGCTAAATTGTTTTTGTCTTGGCCGGCAATCAGCATTGTCTTTCGACGATTGCATGTGCATCCACACATTTCCATCGCTCCATCTGTCGCTTTCAATTGCTCCACTTTCTTGCTTCATTTTCCATTTTGTGCACATAATTGCACTTCTTGTGAGCTAAAGTGGGCAAACATCGACTGCCGCCGCCCACAACCACTCACCAGAGCCAGCTCGTGCTCCGGTCCGAGCCAAATCAAATGAAAACACCCTCAGACCCAGATGTGAGCTCCATGTGCAGCGCACACCCACTCCCGCTCGGTTCAATCCCCGACCAATTGCTAATCCCGTGCTGGAATTTCACTAGGATCCACACACACACCCACGAGGATACGGATTCGGATGGGGGCTGCCGGCGCGGCGGCAAGACATTGACGGGATTAAGTGTCCTTTTTAATTTTAAACTACTTCACTTCACTTTGCACAGTCAATGAGAACGCCGTATGTATGTAGCTCCCTCCTGGCTGCTCCGCCCCTCATCCCTGACTCGGTTGGGTGTTCCCTTTCTATTTTCTATTTTCTGTTACTTTGGCCATGTATGTTTCTCTTTGGAGTCCTTTTCTTTTAAGCTTGATTAAGCACTTTGTGTAACTCTATGACATGGACATGCATTTGCATGCTGGACGCCGTGCCAATGGCATTTTTAATTTGCCATAGCAACATATTCTGATCCGGCTCCAGTGCCCATCAGTGATGAGGGTTTACAAAAATAAGGAAGAAAAATAAAGGATCAAAATAAAATAGTTTGCTTATATCTTTAAAATATCCTCCTATTACTCGAGCTATTTAACATTTTATTCCAAAAAAGTCATCCTTGCTAATGTTTTTAAGAAAACATTTTGTTATTAATTGTTATTGTCTTTTTATTTTCATTTCCATAGCTGAATTTGAACATATTTTTCCGGAAAAAGGCCAAATTGGCACCGGGGCTCCACAGTCTTCTTCAAGAGCAGCGCAAATTGCCATGCATTAGTATCTGAAGAACGTGAAAGGACGAGGAGACGAGGTGACGAGGCAACGAGGATGAGTGCATACGGGGTGGCAGGAGTGCTGGTGGAGCGTGCTTCTCATTTATTATGCAGGCCAGTGAAGTAACAATGACTTTGGATTATTGCTTCCTCCCTGCCGCAACAAACAATTGAAATACAATAAAATTAAATAATTTTTAACAAGCCACAGGAAAGCGGAAGTGCTCGTCCACTCACACACACACACATTTACCGACTTACATGGCCTTAATAGCCAATCTCTGGCATTGCTGCACAGATAGCCCATGAATACATGTACATATATATGTTCATATATACCATACAGATATACCATTTTTTGCACAATACATTTTATCATTCTTATTATAAAAATATTGTTTATTGTTTAAATTGCATTTAACTTTAGTAAAAAAAAAGAGCGGGGAATATTGATATATTTTATTCGCAAAGGTAAATAAATCCCACATAACGGCAATGTGTAAGTTCCCCCCCAACGGTGAGTGTCTGCGAGTAATAAACAAATACGATTTTATTATTTATTATTTATGTATTCATGGCCATTAAACGGATATCCGTGCCCATGGCGCATTAAATTGCACTGCCAGCCGCATTTCCCCTTATGTTCTCCTGCCTTCCAAGGCACTCCTCTTGGCCATCCGTAAAGCGGATCACGTGCCATTGCCATGGAGACGGCTTTAATGCACTTGCAGTTCACATCTCGACAACGAGACTTAATTTTCCAGGGAGCAGGAGGTAAATGTTAAAAAGAAGATTGCAACTAGCAATAAAACGATTTCAAAATACGATAAATAAATATAAATAAACGCCTTTTGCATTTGTGCTAAGTACATTACTCGACGTTTGGCAGGATTTTAAATAAATTTCTATATATATAATATTGAAATATATAATATTGAAAAAATATTTAACTAAATCATTAGTTATGTTAACCATTTCTTAGGAGTTAAATTAAATATTAAACAGAAAAAATAAACCAATTCATTTCTATTGTATGCCCTGATCAAAGTTAGTTAATTGATTTTTGGCCACAACTTAAGACTCTTACCTTCCCAAACATCTAGAAAGCTTCTCAAAGGCCATAAACATTTCGTTATCTCAGGAAACACTCTTCCGAATAATAACGAATTTAGGGAAGTATCAATTGCTTGGTATCAGGATGAAGCCCTACTAGCTGCGTTTGCGGGACTCGACTTCCTCCTCCGATTCACGGTTTGCGGTTGGCGGTTTTAGTTGACTCGGAAGCAGGAGAGCTTGTCTTGCTATCAATATGTAATCAATGCTTTCAAATAACTTTGCCATTCGCAACAAGGCTTTTGTTTTGCACAAATCAAGAGACTGAGCACCGACGTCATTGGCGGGTTTGGAGTTGGGTAATGGCATCGCCTAAGCCAGCAAGCCAGGCGAAACAATGCACGCCAGGAGAGGAGAGTGCATTGGGGTGGAATGAATTGGAGCAGAGAAGAGCAGGGACTCCTGAGATGGCGTGTGTCGCCAGCCTGGGGCGCACACAGGGGATTTCAATAAGACGCACACAATCTGTGCTGAAAGCTTAAACAATAAAAGTGAAAATTCCGCCAGAGCCTCTAGATAGACGGATAAGAATATTATCAGGAGCTTTGATCCTTGCACCCAGTGTGATAGATCGTGGAGAGATCAAGAAAATATAACTTTAAACCTTATTATAACATATCCTAAGAATATTTCTGTTTGGTTTCTTAGAGATTCAATATGTTGAAATATTTTAACTGGTTCTAACACTTCTTTATATTAAAAAATATTCTATATAATTTGATTATGAAACTCACTTATTAAATTTATTTTTTTTTTGCCAGGATCTTTGCATGCTGCTCACGAACTCAGAACTTTGTCATCGCTAGGACTACTTAGTGTTGCGGTTGAAGGGAACAGGACAATGCGACATGTGTAGCCGTGTCTCCCAGTTCCGTGCATCCGAGTATCCAAGTTCCCAAGTATCCCAGTATCCCAGCATCTGAGAATCTGAGTATCTTCCATGTTGCCAGCCAGACAATGCAGATTAGCCCCGAACCGGGGGGCTCAACACTCGAGACCTTCGTGAGAGACAAAGGCACTCGACTGGGACTTTAATGAATAACAACATGAAGGAGTGCGGAGCAGTAGAAGCAGGCATCCACATCAATTACATTGCGGTTGACTGCCATTGCCAGGGACACTCACCCAATGAAGCCGCAGGAGGAGGCAGGAGGCACGTCCGCATATGAATATGAAATACAGAAGAAGCATCCATGTGTGTGCGGCCATATCGATGAAAATCAATTCCACTGTCATTTGGGAATCTCTCAATCGGGCCAAGCAGCTGAAACTTTTGTGTTTGTGGCATTGAATTGTCAATAGCAGCAGCTCAAGTTGATTCTGCTCCATTATCTGTGCAATTTGGAGCACGGCTGCTGCAACTGTCGGTTTCGATCCGCCTACCTTTTTGACCTCTTCGCCTGCGGCTTATTGGCCAAATTAGTTTTGCCTGACTGCAAATTGTACACTCCTGCTTCTCCGACTGACAGGACGTAAATTCAATGTCCTGGTTGTATATGTTATGGCTTCATGTTGCCGACGTTTTAAACTCAACCACGTCCCTCTGCTCATGCTCCTGCGCCCGCCCTCCTAACCTCGCCATCTCACCCTGCTGATTTATGTTTATGGGCTTGGCAAATATTTGCGCCACTTCAAAAGCATTATGATGATTATTAGCATTGTTTGCCATCGTAGTAAAACTGTCATACGTGTCTGGCTGGCTGTTGCCTAACATTTGCAGTCCGGACAGTATAGAAAAAAGAGAGCATCATCGCCAAGTGGAGCTCCGACTGTATGCTGTAGCTGAAGCTATAGCTATAGCTATATAGCTGTAACTGTAACGGACAAACGTGAAACGTGACCGACGTGATGTTTATGCGAAAACATTCCCCCGTCATCTGAATAAGTGCGATTGCGAGTATGAGCAGCGGCATTAGCATCCGACATACAAATATATTTCCAGAAGCATGCACATCATCAGCGAATTCCGGCGAAGTCGACTAATCGCCAAAGTGAGGCACAACTTCGGGGGTCCCTTTAAACTGGGCCTAAATCGAAGGCATCGTTAGTCATTGTCGCCTGAGAAGGTCTCCCAACCCAAGGGAAAGTTGGACTAAATGTTAAACGCTATCTATCTATCTATCTATTTAAAAATAAAGTTTCCAAGAAAGGTTTCTATTGTAAAAAAAATAATTTAAGTGCTATGAAGAGTCTCTAATAATTAATCAAGCTTCTTTTTATAAATTTAAACCATTTATAATCTTTTTATATTAAAATTCCTTATGTTATTCCTTTTATGTTATTTTTCTCTGTGCACATATATGTATATCAGCGGCATTGGCAGCATTCTGGCCCAAAAATTCGAACTAGCAGCAAGACAACTGCGTGACAATGCGAGGCTCCAGCTTCGGCCCAGGACAGAAGTGGCTGGAAAACTTTGTGCCCCCAAAGAGTGGCTCTCCGGCAGACTTGTCGCGCATATGGAGCCGGTGCTGGAGCTACAAGGACAACGACAACGCAAACGACACGGAGCAAGACAGCGGGAATCGCACCCTTGCCGCCGCTACCGCTGCCGCCATTTTCAGTGTAAATATTTAAACAATAATAAGTTGGCGGAAAAACGTGGAGAAAACTCTTATGTTGCTGGGCGCGCCAAAGTGAGGCAAACTTTTGTTATCTTTTCACCATGAAAATAGCACGAAATTGAACAGGAAAACGATGGAGCAGCCAGACATGGTTAGGCGGTAGGAGGGTGCTAGGTGGCACATGGCAGGTGACAGGCGGCATGGGAGACTACACATCGACGCGGTTCGACAGACAGACGGGTTGAAAGCATTGCACGTGCACTAATCATCGCGGATGACGGGAACCTGGGGGAGTTCCGTTGGTGTATCGCCTTTCATGTTTTCAATTAGCGTTAATGTCAGTGCAGCGGCCGATGACTTGGATCCGCAGCTGGAAACTATCCCCATTGGCCAATGTTTGGTTTTTCGCAGTGAACCCATCCTAGGTCAAATAAAGGTTTGTTAGTAGACGGGATATAATTTCACCTGGCCCCTCAAAATGGGTTCTAATAAGCAGGTGAGCATGGAGTTAAAAAAACAGAAAAATATTTTATATCTTGTTAATGGTTGCTAGATAATTGAAATAAAGCTTTAATTATCTGACAGAGTTTGTAATATAAAGAATTAGTCTTATTCAACACAATTGATATTATATATTTATGGTTTTCGCTATTGAGATAAATAGTAAGGCTTTGTCGCCGATCAAGTTTGCGAAAGGCTTCGCTTGAGGCTCAAGTTTCTGCAGCTGGAAATTAATTTCCGACAGGTTCAATCCATCATTTATGCTGCCCCCTTGCTCAACCCCGGTAACTTCTTTATTCATACCATAACTGCTCTATAAATATTATCCGAGAAAGTCTTGCCTTTACCCCGAAAATGTCATTTGCATAACCGTCAATCATACGCCGCGTATGGTGGCTGTGGCTCTTGGTGTTCCACCTTGTTTGTTTCTGCTTCACCGAGTGTGCACACACACACACACACACACACTCAATGCAGTGCGCACACACACTGATGCGAACCCTAACCCAGCATATGTTCGATGGCATTGGAAATTTTGCTTCTCGATTTGCGTTTGCGTTTTATTTCGAAATTGAATTTCAGCACTGATTATATTTTTTCTTCCTTTCAAACCCACTCCCGGATACGGGTCTGGAATATGTTGCGGGTATTGGGGCTGCTTTGATTGGGGCGGAGTGGGGGGGGAGTCCCCTGTTGTTTGCGCTCTCTGCTTGCCGGGGGTGCATAAATAAGCGCCACTCAATTATGCAGACTGTGGGCGAAACAGCTATAATCCTTTATCCTTTCCTACCTGCGACGTGTCGATTTGATTTGCTTTGCAATTTATTTTTGAATTGCGCGCTGACAAGGACACACATCGAACATGCATATTATATGGTATTTGTATAATATTTCCTCTGACAAAACGCCGAGCATACATACTTCTCTCACGATCTTGGGCAACATTTCCCCTAAACTTTGATGTAATTTCGACATTTACCTTCACACTTGAAACCCTCGGCTCCGCTTTTATTTTAAAAGGGATATTTATTGGGAGATTTTTAATTTGCCGTAAATTGAGCTGGCAATTAGCTGCTTAATAGGAAATTTGATTTTTTCTATGCTTTGGTTTTTGCGTCGTCATTAGCAGGAATTTAAAACCTTTTTTCGGGATGGCTAAAGTTTGGGTCAATGCAAATATTTCATTTGGAGTGACACCATGCTGGAAATTTGTCTGAATTCTCTCCTGGTCCCTGCCTGACTGAGGGTATTTAAATGTGGCCCATTACGTTTTATATTGCCGTTTGCCTTTGAGGTTTTGTGTGTTACATTTAATTGCAAATTTCTGTTGAAAAAGTTCCACTTTACTCCCTTCTTCCCTTTGGTGTTCTTCCTTCATTTCATTTCGGTTTACTTTTCCGTTTGCCAGGCCTCGAACGTTCAACTCATTAAAAAGTGAAACGGAAAGGAGTTCGATGGGACTGGGGGCTGGGGGATGGGATGTTAGTCTATTTACCCGACACTGCAGTAATTTCCCAGCAATTATTGGCCAATTCCGGCATACGCTTTAAACACGCTGCTGAAATATGCGATGAGACAGCTGTGTGTGTAGTGTGCGGCCATCTCCCAATGGTTTTATAAATATTTAATGACTCGACCACAAAAATTGATTGACATTTGATTTTCCTGTTTGATGGGCCTGGGCGTACACATTGCGACAGGCCAATTATATGTATTAATTACATTTTTACCCCTGTCCATTCAATGCTGGAATTAATTTAAATTAAACAGCGAGAGGGAGTGAGCACAATAAAAATATGGCCTGAAGTGCAATTAAAAAAATGCATGAAATTATTTTAAAAATTGCAAATAAACTGCCGGCAGCGAAAAGCGATGGAAATGCCATATAAAAAGCTTGACAATAAGCGTGATGATCGGCCGTCCTTCGTTCGGCAATTGTAAAATTAAAGAAAAACGCCGCTCGCCACTCAAGTTGATGGGAAAATGTCAGCAACAGTTGGGGCCCGTGGAAATGCCTTAACTGGGAAATCAAATTAAAATTTCCAACCAAATATATGTATATGCGTATATATGTATTATAGGCTTATGCAATAAAGTGTATGCCGCGAGTTGCGCCAGGCATCATTTCAATTAAGTTGGCAATTGTTGGTCAAGTAAGCAGCCTTTGCCAGCTATCTGGACAGCGGGATGCTCTGCTCGTATCGGGAATCAGCATATTTGCTGGCCGTGGCTTTAACCGCCTGGCCGCACATAATTAGTGTCATTGCCAACGACGCCAGCGAGTTGGCCAGCAACTACATACATACTTAAATAGGCCGGCGAAAAGGTAATTTGGAGCCCATGGCAAAGACAATTGAACTTTTGATAAATTGCGGCCTGGCAGCAACAGCTGCTGATCTTATTACCGATGTCGTTAATGGAATATTTTCCTGGCCATTCGGATGGCCTACATATGTATGTATATGCGGTGTGCATGTGTGACATTGCCAAGTATTAATATGGAATATTACGTATTCGCACCGTTAACAGCTGAACTGTGTCAGGACTTCGCTGGTTCGTTTCATTTACGCAGAGAACTTTTAATGCAATATATAAAGTGGAATTAAGTTTTTATAACTAAAAGTTGTAGAAAGAGAAAATAATAGCGTTGTTAAAGTCATTCCAGATGTCTCGAAAATAAATGTTCTTAACTATAAAACCTGAAATTAGCTAAATATGGATGGAAAATGAATTTAACATTTAAATAGTTATATTTAAAAATATTTCCATGATTTTAAATGGTTTTTAAACTACTTTCGAGTAATCAAAACTCAGAAATTGTGAACAAAAAATTAAAATCTTGCGTTTAATTCGCTTTATTTGTCATTCAAGTAAGAATATTGATTCAATACGAGTGTTCAAAGTTTGTCGCCGGCCAAGAAAGCAATTATTTAGCAGATTCCCATTTTCCCTTTTCGCCGTAAAGTACTATTTACCTATTCCTCTCTATCCTTTATCCCTTCTCGCTTGCGACACTCTGCTGGATTTTCTGTGAATTTTTTCCAAATGCATTGGCAATAAATCGAAGCGGTGGCCTGGCTTTGAATCGCGGGCGGTGGCGGGTTAACCCAAATGGCAACAAATTAGAGCTCGAACTGTTTTCAGCTTGTTCTAATTCTTCGCCTCGCTGCCCGTTGAAAAATCGAAGTCACTCTCGCTGCCGCCTACTGGGGGCGTGGTCGCATTTGAAACGGTGGAGGCGTTGGCGGAGGTGGTGGTTGCCGCGGGTCCGGGATTTGCGGCTGGGGTCGGTTTCGCGCTTGAGCTATCATCCGTTTCGCTGCTGTCAACGAAATTAACGCGCTTCTTCTTCTTCTGCTGCTGCTGCTGCTGCGCATCATTAGGCGCCGCTTGTTTGTCTGTCGTCGAGAGTATCGATGTGGGTTTGAGGGGTTTATTGGCGGCTTGGCTGGGTTCCGGGCCAGCTGGAGCAGCGGTAGCAGCAGGAGTTTCTTCCGCTTCCGGGGTTTTCTTTTCAGTCACTGGATACGCTTCCTGCTGCTGCAGCTCCTCCTGAGGCTGCTGTTGCTGCTGCTGCTGCTGCTGCTGCTCTGACTGCTGCTGATGTTGTTCATACGCACTATAGTCGTAGTTCTGCACCGCACTGGCGTCGTACTCCTGGCCCGCGTAACTACCATCCGGCGCATATTGGGTCGCATTGGGATCGGCTATATACTGGCCGGTGGCCTCGTCGTATATGTAGCCCGGATAGGCATTGGGATCGTAGCCGCCCGCATACTGACCGGCCTCGTAGTTGCTGTAATCAATATTGGAGTACTCCTGCGGCAGAGCCACCTCGCCACCGGCATCCCCCGCTGATGCTGCAACTTCGGATGCCGCTGCCTGCGCAGGTGTATCTCCGGCAGCCCCGGCATCCGTGGCATACGCCTGATAGTCTGTGGGATTTCCGATTTCGCTGTAAAGCGGCTCCACCGCCGCGCTCTCAGGTTGCAGGTTGCCGGAATCGATGCTGGCGTAGATGGGCTCACTGGCATCGCCATAACTGCTGGCATCATATTGCCCGTAACCGGCCACCTCCGGCTCCAGCTGCTGCTGCTGCTGTTGCTCCTCCAACTCTCTCCTTTCCAACTCGGTTGGCGATGTATTGGTTACCAAATTTTCGAAAAATCCCTGGGTTGGCGAGGCTCCACCGCCTGCTGGTGCGGTTCCAGGAACTGCTCCTCCGGCTCCTGCTGATGCTGTCGCATTTCCTGTCAAACGTTCGCCGTAAATGGCATTTTCAATATTCTCAATCGACACACCCGGCTTAGGTTGGTGGAAGGACGGCATGGTCTCCTGGCTCACTGGCGGCGACAATTGATTACCCCTTGCCAGTTGCTCATCAACCGCAGCAGCTGCCTTTTCCAGGGCCAACCGGCTGGCTTTGACTTCGTCCAGCAAATCGTTGCTGATGCCAACTTTGGCCCCCATTCCCGATCCTCCTGCCACGTCGCCGGAACGCACATTTAGGGGGCGTTTGTCTTCCATTGGACTAGGTGAGGTGCCAGCGGTGCTATCCTGCCAGGGCTCATCGATTTTCAGCTCACCGAAGTATGCTTCAAAGTCATGTTGCTGTTGCTGTTGCTGCTGCTGCTTCTGTTGATGTTGCTGCTGGAGCTGGCGATGTCGCTGGCTCGGCTCATTATGGCCCACGACAGTTGGTGATTTTTCATACTCGACTTTAGTCACGCGTGAATTTGTCCAAGCATCCAGGTTCAGGTCCAGGTCGTCGGCTTCCCCTTGCGGTGGCCCCCCCACGTCATGGCCAGAAGTTGCAGCGCCTGACCCACCTCCTGCTCCTGCTCCTGCAGTCGGCAGCTCAGTTAACGTCAGCGATGGCGATGGAGATGGCGGTGTCTTTGGCAATTTATCAAACGTCAACGAGGATGTGGCAAGCGTAGAGGAAGTGCTGCTCAGCTGGCGGGCACCCTTCTCCTGGTTGGACGTACTTGATGTCCCAGCTGTGGGCGTTGCCGGGGTGGCCCTTCCGCCCAGCTCCGCCTGATAATCACCTGTCAAGTGGGGCTGCATGCGCTCGGGTAAATCGGCATTCTCATTATCAAAGGCGCGCAGGGTGGCGCGCAAATCGAACAAGTTGGAGGTGCCAAGCGGTGCTGCTGCACTTCCGCCAAACAGCTTCGGATAGTAAACGGGATGGGGAGCGGGATTGGATGCCACGGGGGGTGCCATTGAAAAGGGCATGGTCCCGGGCATGCCTGCTGCAAACTGGGGCGTTAGCACCATACCCGCCTGCGTGGGCGTGGCCATGGCAAAAGTCCAGTTCTGCGGCGTCGGCTGCGGATTGGTCAACTGCGGCTGCGGTTGCAGCAGGACTGGCATCGGCATGGCTCCGCCGGCGGCTGTGGGAGCTCCTGTCGCCGTCGTCGTTGTTTGTTGAATGCAACGCAGTGTTTGATTCTGGACCAATTTCGCAAAGTACATTTGGTATTGCAGCTGTTCCAGAGGGGAAAATATATGTAGATTAAAAGGTGATTCACTTGGAAAAATATTATAAGAAAAGTTTTGATTTAGATAAAAAAAAAAATTGATGTCTCTTTTTGCAAAAGAAAACTCTGGATTTAAAGAAGATATACAAGCCAGATATCAAAAAACAATAAAAGTTATCAATACTTTCTCTCAGTGTGATTGACTTTACATTTCCTGAGGCCACGACGGACTTTGGGACTCACCTTCATCATTTTAAGTCGCTCGCTGCGCTGCGACATGGCTGCCGTTTGCTCATCGATCCGCTCCAGCATGTGGACCAGCTTCTTGTTGCGCTCATTGCGCTTGGTTTGCTCCTCCAGGAACTCGTGGTACTTCTGCCGGCTCTTGTGGCGCACCGACTTGTCGCTGCAAAGCAAACACGCATTTGGTTTACCTTTCCGGAGCGACAACGGAAAAGGGCAAAAAGCTACTTACAGCTCGCTGCGCTTCTGCAGGACCTTATCCAGCTTGTGCTCCAGCTGCTGGCGATTATCCTCGCTGCGCAAAGGAAATCAGAAATCAAAACGTAAACCAAGCAAACTACAGAGACAAATGGCTTAAACATGACTTTTTAGCTGCTGGAAAGCACTCGAAAGGCTTGAGAAAAGCTGACTTAAACAAATCAATGGACATGACTTCAGGGAATTCGGAATTATTCATCTACGAAAGCAAACGAGGCATCACAGTTTACATAGTATGATATACAAAAACCGAAAAGTACACCAAAGGCGGCTTTTAAGGGTCAAACCATTGTTGTATTTACAAGATTTTTGGTAAATAAAAACCCTGAGAGCAAACAATTAATATGTTTTTTACTATTTTCTATAAATAATAACTTTTGTTGGTCAATAAGGAAATTACTATATGGATAGCAACTATTTTTACATAATATTTTATAAATTGAAGGGTGTTCGATTTTCTTTCCTCTCACCTTCGCTGCAGCTTCTCCTGTAGCAGCTCCACCTGCAGCTTGTAGTTCTCCAGCTCGGCCTGAGGAAACATGGCTTATGGGCTGGCGCTGGGCTATTATATCCTTCCGGTGCGAACCGATTCGATCCACTGCGAACTGTACCAGTTGGCGGCTCCGACTCAACTGGCCATATGCACTCCGCTATTGACACAGTTAGCTTGGCACGGGCACGGGGATATTAATGCGACAGTGTGTTCTATTTTTGAGGCAACTTTATTTGAATGGCCGCATTAAATACGTGTTTGTACGGGTGGTGGCTGACATTTGTTTGTTGAGTCGCGTTGTCATGGCTGCCCGCCTTCTTGGCTGGGCTCCTTGGGTATTTATTTTGGTGGTTGCTTGGCATTGCCCAGGGACACTTTGTTCTCATCGATTTTGCTCGTTGGCTTTCCCAACGTGCCACGCATTGAGCGGCGGCTGAGTCGGCGACTGTTGGCAACAACTAACTTTCGATTTTTCGCCCCATGAATTTTACATTCCAGACCAGGGGCCTGTGGTATACTAATTACACGCCCGGCAAGTGGGTCACTTCTTTCTGTTCCGCTCTGTTCTTGGCCCCGGCCAAAAAACGTGTAGAGTCGTTTGGGGTCACCGGACCTGGGCTCGGACTTGAGCTCGAATTCGGAACCGGATTCGGACCCGGGCGGGCCATTTATAATGCATTGCACGGGATTTGGCTGCACGAGTGGGCCCAGCTTCTTTCCATTTCTGTTCAGATGAGTGTAAACACATGTTGTTTTCGCACATTCGCACCAGGGCATACACTGAGAAAATATTAGTAAGACAACTTGTTTAAAATTTATATTTTTTAAAATGTTATAAGATTTTTTTTTAAACAAACATAATGGTTTATCTTAGCTACTATAATTTTTTATAAATTTTTTGGTTAATAAATTTAAGCTAACCATTTCTCCCAGTGCAGACACTACCCAATGTGCTCGGCCAAGCGTGCGGCACCTGAATGTGAATTAATGGTAGTGGCGTCTATCACTCCCCCGGCCGCAGACAACAACACACTCGCTCTGGTCCCGCTGACATATTCACACGCTCACCACATGGACGATGACGGTGACGGTGTCCTGCATGTCCTCTGCCTCCTGGTCCTGCCTCCTGTTTCCTGCCTGCCATCATCAGCGCTCTCAGCGTCAGCAGTGACCACTCTCCTGTTCCTGCCACCGAAGCCACAGCGGCTCCGTGTCCTGCTTGACTTGGCTCCTGGCTTTGGCTTTGGCTTTTGCTCTGCTCGTCCTGGCCCGGCTTCTCCGTGTGGCATCTGTGTTCGCCGGCGCTGTCACGGTGTCGTGGTTGCGGGCCGCAATATAAAATTTTTGGTTATTTACATGGACGGGATAACAAACGAGCCGGGAGCAGGCACCGACGGGGGACTGTCATAAGTGCGGCAGGTTATCTCCGCGGTTCCTCGTTTCCGGGCACAGAGGATGGGTCACCGGGTATGAGTTTGCATGGCAAGAGCAGGAGCGCAGTTCAAGGGGGTTTATATATTAAAGGTTTACAATCTGATTTATTTTACTCAGTATAGTTATAAAAAAGAATGAGTTGTATATTAAAAAAGAATTATTTAATTACAATATATAGAAAAAAAGAAACCCCCTTTTGCGGTGCTCACTGACCTATGACAAGGGACATAGTGAACTTGTTGCCAAGCGACCAGGACCACGGACAATTTCGCCTTGTCGCTAGCAATTTACGCAACCAACACTCGCTGCATTCTTTAAGCGGTGGCCAAAAATACTGAAAGTGCATATTTAAAGAGGAAAATGTGTCGTAATAAAGCAGCTTTTGTTTTGAGTCAAGACTTTGGGATACTTTTTTTTTTTTTTTAGAGAAAATAAAGCTGAAACCAATAATTGCAATATTATAAAATAAGCAACAAAGATGAACCAATATGAAGTTATAGAAACCAGCATAATATCTGCAATATTTATTCTTTATATAATCATTTTAGATAACTCCTAAAATAACATTTTAAAGAAAAGGGTATGAATACAGCTGCTTATTTCTAAATTATTGTTTAAAGCCAGACTGAAATAATTTGTAATGCCAATTAAAATAAAGGGAAATTTTCCATTGCCTAATGTATTTACTGTGCACTTTTGTTTAGATTGTACTTGCATAAATTTTATGCCCAAAATAGCCTTACCTTTACTGTATATCGTAGTTCAGGCCCACCAGCTGTTTTGGTAAAAGACCTCTAACATGCAAACTTTGACAATTTGCGGATTGATTTTGTATCTACTCGGATGACTGGCGCTGTGGCGAGGACAGGTTGCGGTCCAATATTTACATATTTATTATTTTAGCCAGAACAATTTGCGGCAGGCCTTGACGCTATTAATAGCAGGGCCAACAACTTGGCATGTCCTGGCACCCAAATCGTATCTCGGATTAGAGATATTGGATGAGTGTGCGGCGCCCAGGGATGGTGTCTCCGTGGAGAGTTTGTCATAATCGAACATTTGCATTGGAAAATGCGGGAGGGGGACGACGACAGACCTAAATGGAAATTGAAATTTTTTGCTGGCAAATTTTCTCGTGGCGAGCGGGCGATTTATGTGTTTGACTTTACGCTGCAGTTGCCTCGCTTCGCTAGTATGTATGTAAGGGAGTGTGGCGGAGGGTGCTTATCAGGCGCTGCACAGCGTGCTTTTCGGGGCACTTAATTTTGGCTTTTTATCCTGGCATCCTTGAAGGACAGTCGGGTGGGGTATGGCGGCAATGCGCGACCCGAGAGCTGTTTCTTTTGCCGATTTGCAGTCAATGAAGTAGAAAACTGAAAACTTTTTCTTTCGAGTCTATTAAAAATAATGGCAGCCGAAAGCAGAAGCGCCACATGGGCCATCTCTCTGTCTCTATCGCAGCGTGCGTGCGTGTGTGTCTGTGTGTTAGTGTGCGAGACAGTGGCGGGCATTAAATTAATGTCCGACCAGCCATTTCTCACATTTTTCACAACGGCCGCCGTTGGTCGCAGACACTGCCGGTGCATTGACCACTTTCGGCGGTTTGCCTTTAAAGCGCTCTATTACCCTCGCCCTGAAATCGGGGTTATTTGTCCTTTAGCAGGGTATCCAGCATAAAGGGGGATTGTAATAGACCTACATAGCAGGTTAAAAATAAAAATTAATTCTTTCCACTTTTATATAGAAAAGAAATTGAAATAAATGTCTTAAATAAGAGCTAATATTGCTTTTACTTTAATATTTTAATATTCTTAACCTCTTGATAACTTAGTTAAATTAATTAAATGACTTCTACTTTATATATTTGTATTTTTTTAATTTAAAAACCCGTTGATAGAATATGTTACTATACAATAAAATACTTTAGTTAATCTACAATTAGCTCTAAAATCCCATCTTTAATCTTTCTTAATTGCAGTTAGAAAGTAGTATAAATTCACATTATTAACACAGGGTATCTTTCAGTCTATCCCCCTTCCGGTTAAGACCAAAGAGGTCTATGTACTTGTTTTATTTATAAACACCGTCGCTGCGGGTATGCTGGGAAAATGGCCGAGAACGGAGTCGCAAGAGCAAACGCCGTGCAGGTTTTGCGGTTAATGCGATAATTTAATTGTAATGCGGGTCTGAAGACCTCCGTGCCAATAATTTAACTTGCAATCAGCGCGGCATTTATTGGGTTAAACACATAAGCCAGCGCCCCGGGCGAAGACACATACTTGCATGCCCAAGGAGTGAACGAACCCCAAGGATACACGGAGAGCTACAAAAGGACAAAGGAGGAGGACCAGAGGAGCCAGAGAGCAAGAGAGCCTGGCAAATAAATTCAACGATTGCTGTGCAGCAATAAGGGGACGCAGTCAGTTGGGCATTTTTGCACGTAAGCCACGAGGACGATGACAGCAATGAAATATGCAAGCCGGGTCCTGCTGGAAACCCAGGCATTTTCCAGGGCGTACATGAGTCACACGGCCAAAGGGAAAACTGCAAAGGAGCATGGGGGGAAATCCGAGTTCAAGCCGAAAGCCAAACATTGATAAACTCCGGCACCTAGCAACAGTTACTGGGGTGAACTCTGGGGTCTTCGAGTCCATTGTCTCTGGGCAACGCATTTTGGGATTGGCTGCAATGACAGAAGCACACACCGAGGAGCAATTGCTAGAGCTGCGACGCATCCTACTGCTGACCGTCTATAAGAACACACTCAATCAGTTGGTCCTGCAGCAGCGTTCGCAGCGCTTAAATGCCCGTAAACCGCTCTCGCTGCCCGCCTCCCTACGGCGACGACGCAGCTCGTCGCTGGGGGAGCAGGAGAAGCCGGACCGCATCCTGATAACCGGAAAGGTTCTTCCTCGACTGGAATCGCTGCTGGGGGAGACGGAGGACGATGCCGATCAGCTAGACGAGGATGTGCTGGACGCTCTGAAATTCGAGCGCGATATGGATGCCCTGCGAGCGATCTATGAGGTGGCCATGGATGACGAGGAATTAAAAGAGAGGAAGATTATTTCGGTGGACGGAAAGGAGCTGGAAACAGGAAAGGAGGAAATTGCCTCGAAGGATGTGGGAATTCAAAGGATTGAAATACAACAGAAAACTGTAAAGCCTGACTTGGAAATTGTACAAGGTAAAGATGATTCTGATGAACCAAAGTCACAAAAGTCTTTTAAAATTCTGGAGTTTAATGTCCTAGAAAGCCAGCCGATTGATGTGGAAAAATCTAAATTTGTTGAGGGTGAAGATCTCGATGCGCCGCAACCACAAATCGAATCGCAGGAGACGACTCATGAGGAGGACAGGAGCCTGCAAAAGCTTAAGCAGGCTATAGCTGCCTTGGGCGGCAACAAAAGCGAAGTCTCCCAAGCGGCCCAGCAACTGCAAGAATCCAAGGACGAGCTAAAGAAACTCAAGGAAGATCTAGATACCGAAAAGCGGGTGACCAAGGACAAATTGCTGGATCTAGAGGATCGCATCGCCGAGACCAAGTACAAGCTGCGCTGCGTCTCGCGGGTCAACGACCTGGAGTACAGTCTCGTCCAACGCTGGGAAGAGGGGCGTCTGGCCCAAGGAACTATTTGGGGTGAGAACGCTGAACGGGCCTATTTGCGGGATATTCTGGACATCAAGCAGAAATTGGCTCGCGAAGAGCGCGTGAGCACTGAGCTGCGCTCCTTTCGCCAGCAAGAAATCGTTGATCTGCACCGCAGAATCGTGGAGTGGCAGGAACGGTATGTCAGCGAGATGCGGCGGGTGGATCGGGAGGCCGAGTCCTGGGAGCTGCGCATCCTTGAACAGAAGAAGCAGTTGGAAAGGCATCGTGAGATTTACGAGGAACGGATGATCTTCGTGCAGGAGTATCGCGCCCAGAAGGCGGAGGAGCAGCGTCTGCACGATCTCCAGGTTCATCGCATCGAGTGCGCCGTAAGGTTGCAGGCCTGGTGGCGCGGCACCATGGTGCGTCGAGGCCTGGGTCCCTTCAAGAAGAAACCGAAGCGCGGCAAGCGGGGCAAGCCCAAGAAATAAGAGGCAGCCGGAAATCAAAGTAGTTTCAAAATAATAATAAATAAACTTGCCTAATAAAGATCTCTTTTTTCTTAACTCGGCTCAAGAGCTTATAGTAAACATTTACAACTTGTTATCGTCTTTCTTTCTGTGCTTTTTGCGAGTGATTTTTTCTGCGTCTTCCGGCGCTTTATGGAAATTAACTTGTGACTTAAAACCAATTAAAAGTTGGACGCACTGCAGTTAACACGTCAGCGGTCGGCTACTGACGTTGTCCTTAATGACATGCTGCCAGTGTCAACGGGGCCGTCTCGGGCATTGTTTACGCGAGGCGATAATAATGGTCAGCGGTGCCGGAATGCCAAGGAAAGGGAAACGGGAGCAGGAGGAAGGACCAGAGGACCATGGGATCCAGAGTGGACCCAGAAGGCAGTTTGAGTTGCATCTGGAGTTCCATTGTTTTCGCCTTTATTCCCCTCGTTGCCTTTCTTTTCTGCATTTATTTATCTTTTATGCCAGGGAATGGCCAAAGTGGTTTATTTGTTGCTGCACTTTCATTGGCAACACGAATGGGGGCCGAAGGGGCGTGGCATTCGCTGCGATGCGTGCGGAGAAGATAAACTGCGACAATTTTCCCGCTGAACGAGTGGAACTTTTTTTTTTTTGAAAAGCAAAAACTTTCCCACTTTCGAGCGTGCGTGTGGACATTGCAATTTAAAATATAATTAATGGTCGTTGCCTTAATTTATTGAATTTGCATGGCACAAGGCTGCATTGCCGTCATTTCTTGTTTGCCTCGACTGTCGCTCGCCACTTTTTCGCCTGCAAGTGCTACAGCGAGTGCGAGTTGGAGTGCGGGTTGGAGTGGGAGTTGAGTCCGAGTCCGATGGTCATTTTCACGATTTTCCATGCCCATGCCCTGGCACTCACTTTTGTTTAATGCACTTCGGCCTGCCTTCTTGCCATTGTTACAGCCTGGTGGATAATGACCGGCGAAAGTAAGCTTTCTGGCCTGCAGGTCACTGGGATTCTTGGTTGTTGGTTTCTGATATAATATTTTGGAGAAGTTTTCAGTTGAGAATTAGGCTACAAACATAGTGCGCGCTGAGACGAAGCTGAAAATGAAGACGAAGCTGAAGACGAAAAACAGTGCAGAACAATTCATATGAATTCGCTCGCCCGCAAACATAGTGCGCGCTGAGACGAAGACGAAGATTAAGACGAAACGCAAGCGATCAGCTTCAAACGGAGCAGTACTGTTTTTAAAGACGAATCGCTTGCTATTTTGAGTTGTTCTTCTTCTTTTTTTTACATTTTAGGGGAAAAACTGGAATTTTTAGGGGAAAATTTCAACTTTTTGAGATAGGGGAGAGCCAAATTTTCATTTGGCAACACTGCAATTTACTTGTGACTTGCGATTTTCCTGAAGCACATGTTTTGTATAAATGTCTATAATAAATGATGAATTAATTGCAGCCGTTTTTAAAAAACAATGTTTATGGGACCAGCAGAATAAACTATACTACAATAGGCATATTGTGGACCAGAATTGGAATGATATTTCAAAGGAATTGGATGTTGATGAGAAATCCATAGCGACTAACATCACAAAATCGCAACAAATTCGTCTTCCACTATGCAACCTATTAGCTTACTCGCATCGCAAGCAATTCGTCTTCAGCTTCGTCTTAATTTTCAGCTTCGTCTCAGCGTGCACTATGTTTGTAGCCTAAGTTTTTGTATTTAAGGGATTGCTATCTTCTTCTTATATTTAGCTAAAATCTTTTTAAAAACCAAAACATAATTTAATTCCATAAAAAGGCTTTTAAGTTATTAATAGTTAAGGCTTTTAAGTACTTTTCTTTACTGTTAGCACTACCAACATCTTTTAAGTTGTAAAAGTGGAAAATTGTGTGTCATGAAGGGAAACTTTGACGCAACTGTTAAAGCTGCAGCTGCCCAGTAATTACGAAGAATTGAGATGTGCAAAGTCCACCAAAAAAGACTAAAAAATAAAAAAACAACTAAGGAAAATGTACCAGTTTTGGCAGGAGCCACAGAAATTGGCAACCGTGGTTGCACGGCCTATTGTTCGCATGGCGGCGGATGAATTAATGGAAGATGGGTCCGCTTCCAAGGCGAAAAGGCGAGAATGAGGGCAGCAGACACACAATCCCCTCGCTTTTTTCATCTTTTCGTGGCTATCTCTTTGTGCCTGGGATCTCCCATTCCCTGTTCCTGCACTTTGCATGCGCCCCGTACTATTTGCAACTTGAAGAAGCCAGCGAATGCTTCATAATGGCTATGGCCATTGCCTCTGCCTCCTCCCTCGACGACCGTTTCCGTTAGTAACTTCCATTTCGGTCCGTCCCATCCCGTCCCCTCCCATGCCACACCGTGTCATGTGCGTTACTTAAAACACACAAAATGGCGTTGGCCTTTTAAAGGCGCCGCTTCTGCGAGTTCCGCTGCATCCCCGGGGAAGGGGATTTTGAGGGAAAAAGGGCCAACTGGGGCACCCCGAAAAATTTACATACAAATTAGGGTTAATGAGCAGTGAAATTGTTATTTAACTTCAGTTGGCCCGTTAAGCGCTTTAAAGTGTGCAGCACTTGAGCCAGGCTAGTCTTCAAATAACTGTGTACTTTGCGACACGTTTTCGAAATTCTTCTAGCCCGGTTAAACGCGTGACCTTTTGGTGCCACTCCCCCTAAACATAAGCACCCAAAACCATCCACCCACCACAAAACAGCAGCATTTAATTAACCGTTTTGGCGCTAAAATCATAAATAAAATCATAAATATAACATCGCGCATACGCCACGTGTTCCCAAATTAATTTTAGTTCTGTTCATTTATTACTACTGCTATAATTGGGAGAGTTAAGACTGCTAAACTCGAATATTCTGAGTAATAATTAAACAGAAAACATACATAAGGATGTTGAAGCTTTTTTGCCAAGGATCAGATAATATAATAGATTTTTGAGTATTAAGTTCCATTCTTTTTGGGATAAAAGTAAATTTACTAAATGAATTAAATATATATTTTTTAGTTCTAATAAAAATAAAATTAATATGTTTAATAATAATTTGTATCACAAAATAAAATGTTTTAAAAACAGAGGTTTTGTACGTTATTTTACTTTTTTTTAGTAATGTAATAACATAACCCACAAGGACACCGACTTCTCCATCTCTAACGCAGAACAACAAAATTTAATTAATAATCTTGCGTATAAATTATAACTGGAATGTTGCGCATACGCCACGTGTTCTTAAATTAATTTTCATTCTCATTTTTTTTATATTCATTTTACATTTTTACTGCTGCTGCTGCTACTGCAGTGGAGCGAGTGGGAGTTTTAAAATTTAATCAAACACTTTAATTTGATTAACAGCGCACGTCTTTCAATATAAATTTATGGCCGCACGACGCATAATCAGAGACCAGCACCCGCACCAGGACCAGAAGCAGAACCGAAGCAGCGGAGCACCGGATGCCGGAGAGTGCTCCACTGACCAGCCGTAAAAAAGGGTTGACCGCCCGCACATTCATTCACTCGATCTCAACTCTCCCGTCTGGGCTTTCAACACATCAACGCCGTCATTTGATATGCGTGCGTGTGACGGCGACGGGGTGGAGTTGCCGGGGGAGACTAATAGCAGCACGTACGTTTGATAAAATATTTTATTGGCATGTATGGGTGGCGTCCTGACGGGCCCAGCGATTTTATAGATTTTTCTAATGCTCTGGTGAAAGGGTTAGAAAAAAAAAGCCTAGGGCTTGCAGCTGAGAACCGACGGAAAACTCTCCCTTTTGTTAAACTAAACTTTCATAATATAAAAACCCTCAATTGAAGTATGCTTAAAATATGAAATACTAAAGCTTTTTATTGAATAAGCTTTTTTTAAGAGATTAATTTCACAAATCTCGCGATTTACTATCCTTTGATACCTATTGAGTGTAAAAATACTTATAAATATGTAGGTTATTTTCTCTAAAAATTACGATTTTCAAGAGCCTTTTTCTTTGAAACTTCGGCCGCACTTACACAAAGTTGTTTCTTATCTTTTATTGATTGTTTTTCCATGCATTTCTCATGAAATTAGTGCACCGTCCGAACGGCAATTTGGCCACACAAATCATTTTAATATACACAACTTCAGCTGTAGAGCCCAGCCGTGGACGATGGCATTTTTATTGGCCTACGTGTCTTTTGTGCCATGGCTGTTGCCACAACACTATCTCGTCATGCGAATCTGGAATAAATCTTTCATTTCATTTCTGGTGCACGGAAGTCACGGCCGCCGGTCAGCAAGTTTCAGCCCCGAATTGCTGCGAGTATGATAAATGCCAAAACAAACCGAAATGGCGTTCTGTCGGGTCGCCTTTCTTGATTTTTCGCTCAAAATTCTACGACCATCCCCGCATACGCATTCGCGTTTGCACACGCATTCCCGCCAAATCTCATCTCCTCTTGGCATAATTCCACAATTAGTCCAAGTCATGGGAAGCGTCAAATTTATGCGCATTCGAGGGAATCCCCGTTCAATGAACCTGTCCGCATCAACGCACGGCCCACTAAATTGAATTCTTTGTTTTGGCAGCAGCTCTCGGTTCTAGAGTCCCGAATCCAGGCTCCAGGATCCCGGGATGGCGGATGGGGGGAAAATAACTTCAAAAAGCAAAGCAAAAGTTTTTAGCAAACGGCAATTTTCTGTTATTCCATTTGTTTGCCTGCTTGTATTGCTGTTTGTTGTTGCCGGGGTGCCCGTTTGGAATTTTAAATATGGCGTCTGTTTTGTTTGAAAACGGAAACGAGTGTCTGTCAGTTTATTTGCTTGTTGTTGATGGCAAAGGCAGTAAGCAGCGGCAGCGGCAGCGGCAGCGGCAATGGCAGTCCCAAAAACGAAGTCAACCAACTTTGGCAAAAGGAAGCGCCGCCTAATGTGTTAGTTTGCCAGTGTGTTTGTGTAACTCTGTTTGCAATTGCCAGGCCTTTGCCACCGGCGCTGGCA